AGGTGTGTGCCACCACGCCCAGCTTAGGGCCAACATCTTGTCCCATAGTTATGAAGAGGTTGTTGAGCATAGATAGGGGCAATCTGGATGCAACCTGGGGATTTTTGTCTTTTTGCCTGAGAAGGGGACCTCAACTGTTTAAAAAATAGTGATAGGCTACTGACCTGTTTCTACCTTTACCCTAACCCTTTCCCATAGATTTCACAAGAATCTCCAGGTGTCCAGCCCTTAGTATCCTCTATCATCCTTTCTCCCTGAGAAAGTGTAGTTGTTCCCTCGGTCCACTAATTTCTTCTAAGTGACCCAATCTAATTGCCAGAGCCCTACTGCCAGGGCCAGGGAGGGGAGCAGAAGGGGAGAGCCGTGGCAGGAAACAGTCACCATTTCAAGTTCAGTTTCGGATGTGACATCCCTGAGGCGCCTGCTGCCTCCTGGAATGTTGTGATTCCCCACAAAGCCCTCTTCTCTCTCACCCGGAAGGACATTTCCACGTTCTCCCCTCCCCAGATCTCCATCTGATTATCATAGGTACCGATGTGCTCAAAGTAGGACTTGGAGATGGAGAAGAGGCCACCAGCAAACGTCGGGGATCTAGAGAGACAGAAGGAGAAGCATGTTCCTGGGCCGGGCAGCCCTCCTTCCACCAAGTCCCTTGTTCACCAGCTATGTCTCCTTTTCCTTTAGGGCCAGGTCAAGGAGAAATGTAATGGCTGTTTCTGGCCTCTAAACGGCCTTCATTCATTCATAGAGCTGAGAACGTACAAGATACCAGCCACTCAGGCCCGGGCTGCATGGCGGGCACCTGGAGCTGACAAGAGCAATATCATTTCCTGAGAAGGCAGGCTAGCAGCACAGGGGAAATTTTACTGGCTACTTTTAGGCAGCACTGTGACCAGAGCAGGGTAGACAGTCTTTTCAGAAGCTATGTGAAATTGTTTTTGAAAACAGGCAGGATTCAAGCCAGGAACAAATACCTTTCCTCGGCAGCGCTGATCCCATTCTGTGTCAGGGTCTGTGGGTCTATATCAGGGGCAGTGAGGTCACAGTATTAGGAACTTAACCCCGGGTGGTTTTTTTTGGTCTTTTTGAGACAAGGTCTCACTATGAAATTCAGGCTGGCCTTGAGCTCACTTTGTAGCCCAGGCTGGCCTTGAACTCGCAATGATTCTCCTGCCTCGGCCTCCCGCATGCTAGGGTTACAGGCATGCGCCACCACAGCTGGCAACCCTGGTGTTTAATGGTGCCTGAGAATCTGGAGCTTTGGCATGAAGCTGCCAGTTGCCTTGAGCAGGACAAACTGATAAGAGGTGCTCCTGAAAGCCCCGTGGGAAGAAAGCGAGATTAAACTCAATGTTTGGACCACAGGGAACATTTAGGCGGCTATAAAAAGATCTTGGCTTTCAGACAAAGGCCAGGAGGCACAGATAAATTTATACAAATATCTCATTTGATAGAATTTAGATACCACGCTGCTCGTAGGAGGGGCTGGGCGAAGGGTTAGGGCTGGGTGCCTATGCAGACAAGATGGGCAGACAAAATGGAAGGCAGGGCGGGGGCGGGGAAGTAGGGAGCACAAAAGGCTTAGCTGTCGGCTTCTGCGCCTGAGCCAGGCTGGCTTGGACAGGGCTTTGCTGCCTTCAGTGAGAGGCTTCATGGGGCACAGGCAGAAGATACTATCGTTTTCTCTGCAGCCTCAGAACCTACGGCGATGCCTTACAGACTGGGGTCCAATCTGTGTTCACGGATCGACCTATCAAGGTGATGGCACAGGAGCCTCCCCTCCCGGCCGCTCTTGTCTCCCTGAAGTTGGCTCCCGTAGCTACTTTCTGGAAGGAATCTCAGTTGGAAACCCTCATGCTCAGGTTGGCTTCTGGCTGCTGGTTCTGTCCTCTCTCGGGGGTTGGAAGCCAGCCCAAGTAGCACCCGGGGAGGCTCGGGGAACCATGGGCTTCAAGCTAACTTGCTCTTGGGGAGCTCTCCACCTCACCCCAGGGCCTGTCTCCTCTTTGAGAGGTCTTCCAGGCTGGGAATTCACCAACAAATTAGCCATGAGGATAAACCCTACACCGGGAACTTCACTGGAGAGCACAGCCAAGAGGCAACCGCTAGTCAGCACCTAGTATTCCCCAGCCTCCCTCCCGGGTCCCTGGGTCCTCCACCTGTCTGCTTAGCTTCTTTCTGAGCGCAGAGTGCGAGGCTACTACCCACAGTGCTCCTGGCGAGCCACACCTGAAGTGTCCTGGGCAAGCCACACGAACCAAAGAGAAATTCACCCTCACACGCTGGAGCTCTGCCCTCCAGCTGTGGGGCTCAGGGATGTCGTGGACGGGCAGGAGGCTCAGGAGCCCTGTCCCTACTGCGCTGCTGTGTGCCTGCCCTGGCTTGGGGTGGGAGGCTGCTGCTGTGCACACCGAGAAAAGGCGTATATGGTGTGAGCGGAGAGGCAGCAGGAAGTTCCGCTTTCTTTTCTCTCTCCCGCCTTCTCTTTTTAGTCTCCCTTGCTAACGGAGACAAAGCGCTTGGCTGTTCAGGGTTCCTCTCTGCGACACCCACCTGAGCCCACCCAACTGAGGCTCTGGGAAGTATTTCTTAGGCTTCTGGGAATGTGCAGGGGGAGGAACCACAACCTTCTCTTCCTTTCAAGCCTTTCTTCTCATCTCTGGCCACCATGTCCCCACCCTCTGCTTCCCTCTGTTCCTGATGTATGGTTAGTTGACCCATCATATCTCCTGGCCAGGACAGGAAAACAGTGGCACACATAATCAAGTCAAAGGATACTGCAAATTCACTCCCCAACCCAGCTGGTAAGAGACAACTGTTAAAGTAGACTTGTGTCCCGTAACACCGCCTACCGGCAGTCGCAGGGGACAGGACAGCCTGGGTGTAAGGAAGGCAAGCCCAGGTGTGCTTCAAACAGGGGCTTCACTTCCAACTATCCACCCTCCAGCTCCAGCCAGATCAGGTCTTGTGCCTGCCTCTTTTGATAGGGCTCTGCAGCACAGAATGGTTTTCATATTTTCAAAACAAAACAGTGACAAAGAAAAACATGCAGCAGACTTTGGCTGGCAAAGCCTGAGATTTTTTTTTTTTGTCTTTTTGAGACAGGGTCTCGCTATGCAGTTCAGGCTGGCCTTGAGCTCACTTTGTAGCCCAGGCTGGACTTGAACTTGCAATGATCCTCCTGCCTCAGCCTCCCAAGTGCTGGGATTACAGGTGTGCGCCACCACGCCTGGCACCTGAGATTTTTTTACTATCTGGTCCTGTACTGAAAAAGTTCATGGCAACTGCAACAAAGTTCAGACGGAATAAAATTTATCTATTTTCCCTTACTATATCTTTTTTTTTTTTTTGATAGGGTCTCCCTCTGTTGTTTGGGCTGGCCTTAAAATGACTATGTAGCCCAGGCTGGCCTCAAACTTGTAGCAATTCTCCTGCCTCAGCCTGCCAAGTGCTGGGATTACAGGAGTGCACCACCATGCCCAGATCTCTTACTATATTCTGACTCTTTCCAAAAATGGTAATCAGGGAGCATGCACTACTCCTGTTTACTACAATGGCAACTCAGCAATGGTCTCCACCTCCCATCTGTTCTGCAAGCACCAGTCATGACCTCCCAGGTATGGGAAGGAATAAATGAGGCACGGTATGTAAGGTCTAGAACACAGCAACTGAGTGAATACAATCAAGCTGTGACGGGGTGAGGCCGTGCAGTGCTGTGGTTGAGGCTCAGGGCCAGACAGGGTCAGGGGTGTCCATGCTCTATCGTGTGCTAGCTGCATGACCTGAGATTAGCTGTTTATCATCATGAATGCGCCTCGCTGCTCACCTGTTTCTGTTTTTTGTTCTGCAGTGCTGGGCATCAAACCCAGCACCCTGTGCATGTTAGGCAAGTGCTCTATCCCTGATCCGACTCCCAAACCCCTCGTTGTAGAGCACCTATCTCATTAGGAGTGAGAGTTAAAGTAAATGTCAAGTGCCTGATAAGAGCACCAATCAACACTGACGTGGGATGGCACAGTCCCCGGAACCGGAGGGGGGACGGGGGTCGTGGCGGCCACGCTGGTCCTTACTTGATGGGGTAGGTCTCATCTTTGCGCCTCTGCCTCTCATGTGCAGGTACAGCCTCCCAGCCGAAGGTCAGGATCCAGTCAAAGTTGCCCCGGCTGTGGATTCTGCCCCCGGGCACGGGCTTGGAGAACTCAAAGGTGTGAAGGTTAATGGTGACGATGTCTGGGCTCACCACTGCCATCTTGTCCTCAGCAATTCGAGCCAGGAGGGGCTCCAGCCAGCCATGGAAGCACTCACCTGCAGAGCCAGGCAAGGGGGCAGCAGTCTGGGCTCTGCTCACAGCTGACCCAAGCCCCACCCCAGTGGGGGACCCAGGATATCAGAGGAACCTTTCCCTTACTCCATGGTTTGGGCAAATACCAATTAGCTCCACAGCTGTAGGGAGCAGAGAGCAATCTGAAACCCTGTTGCTCCCTCCCTTGAAGGGTGGAGGCTGCTGTGGAAGGGAGAATGGAGGTCTGGGTGGGGGTGGGGGAGTAACATGGTCAAGGCAAATGATTCAGAAGCACAGGGAAGGCCCTGGACGCAGATCTTCAGTGCTTCCAGCCTCACCCACAGGGCCAGCTCCCCGCTTAAGTGTGGACTTCAGGAGGTGTTCCCATTCCCAGGATGTGCATCTCAAGATCAGCTCCAACGAAAGAATTTCAATGAATTTCTGAGATTTTCAATGAATTTCTGTGTACATTACTTCATTGGGCCCTTGGAGTAATAACTGCGGTAGGTAAACAGGTTGGTGTTCTGCTTTTCTTTCTTTCTTTTAATTTTTTTGAGACAGGGTCTCAATATGTAATTCAGGCTGGCCTTGAACTCACTATGTAGCCCAGGCTGGCCCCAAACTCACTACAGTCCTCCTGCCTCAGCCTCTCGAGTGCTAGGATGACAGGCGCATGCGCTACCACACCTGCTCTCATTCGCCGTTTACAAAGGAGGAAACTGAAGCTTAGCAAGAGGTAGGGTCAGAATGAGAACCAGGGCTTCACATGCTAAGTGAGGAACTTTCCCCAGTATATATCGCTGCCCTTCAGGAACAGTTCTTTTCCCTGACAATGCTGGGAGATGTTTTGGTTTGGGGCAAGAGGCAGGTCTTTCTGGTTCCACACGGACTTATAGGAAAGCCCTATGCAAACCAAACCAGTGGCAACAGGGGGCCTCTGCGTGGGGCAGAACTCAGAGCGAGCTATGGATGGGGACGGATGAGCGTCCGGGTCTCCAGTGTGCACGCCCAGTAATCTGGGGCCACCACTTGTTGTAGGGCCCCTTGTGCCCCCGATGAAACCACCCTGAACTGGGGTAAGCAAGGGGTAGAAGTGGGAGAGCTCCCAAGCCTCCTTCGCTCCTGCAGTGGAACAGGATGGTGTCAGTTCTGCCAGGGGGAGCAGAGGGACAGGTGAGCCAAGCCTCCAGGGTGCCAGGGTGGGTGTCTCCTACTCACAGTGGGCATCCAGGAACGTCAGCACCTCTGCCTGCGCCATGCTGGCCCCCAGCAGCCGGGCAGTGATCAGCCCCTTCCGCTCCTCCTGCCGGACCACCTTCACGATCTGCAGCTGCTGCACGTACTGCTCCAGCTCGTCCTTTAAGTATTCTGGAAGGGATGGGGGCACTGTCGTGGGCCAACAGGGTTGCAGACCTCATCCCGTGCCCGTGTGAGCACCAAGCCCAGGTGCTCCTCAGCTTCCAGCCCCCTGGGACGTCAGCCTTCCCACACCTCCGATGCCGAGCCACTGCACAGAGGGGCCGAAGGGAGCTGAGTGTCACGGCACACACCCATAATCCCAGAACTCAGGAGGCAGAGGCAGGAGGGCTGCTGCAATTTCGAGGCCAGCCTGAGCTACACAGTAGACCCTGTCTCAAAGAAAAAGGTGGCAAAATGGGGAGGAGGAGAGGGGAACAGAGTGGAAGGAAGAGGAAGACCTGCTTTGGCCAGAGCCCCCTCGCCAGGACTCTGCGGTGCTAGATCCTGAGCCTGTGTACTCAGGCACCTTCTTTTATCATCTGAGACACACTTCAGAGTTGTGTTTCCTTGGTCTCAAATCAAGTCCAAGCTCTGACAAAGGCTCTCAGATGCCCTAGATTTCCACCCTCAGCTGCTTCTCTCAGAGCTGCCTTTCAGGCCTCCTTTTCCCTCCCAGCTGAGGGTGCGGGCACTGCTCCATGTCCGCTTTCCTGTCTCCCATGCTCTTCAGAATGCGTTTGACTGGTGAAGTAAACACAGAGGCTGACTTCCACAAGGGAGGCTCATCCCGGGCCTTAATCCCTTTGCTGACCTCCCCTGAATGTAAAAATTTCTTTAGGAACATGAAAACAAGCCAAGCAGCTTTTAAATCACACACAATCATGCACACACACACACACACACACACACACACACACACACACACATTTTTGAGACAAGTTCTTAACAAGTTGGTAAGCTGCTGAAGCTGGGCTTGAACTCGGTCCTCTCAAACTCAGCCTTACAGAGGGCAAGCACTGCAGGCCTGCACCACCGTGCTTGGCTACATTATATTTTTGAAGGAGGCGGGCATGTAGCTCAGCAGTAGACCACAAGCCTCCGGGTTCATCTCAGCTCTTCAAAGACAAAACAACGAAGCCCTATGCACTAAGGGCCTCCACGGGCCAGGCGCCGTGTGCTGGAGGCCGGCATACAGCGGTGAGCCCCGCCACGTTTGTCCTGAAGAACAAACTTCCCCAACCATCCCCACTGGGGGTGACAGGGAAGCCTTTTGAAGGGACGGCGTCTCCGCTGAGACCGCTGGCACCTTCTCAGGAGTAGCATTGTGGTCCTTCCCGCTCACCTCCTCCCGCCTCAACTCTAGTCTCGCTGCCCTGTGCATGTGCCAAGCCTTAGGGTCTTTGCGGGGAACACTCAGAGTGGACTGTCTTCACTACTGTGACTAAAAGAGCTCCCTAATGACCATGGATTAACCCAAAATCTCAGGACATCAAAAAATCACTCTATGTTGAAGGATTCATCTTGAACCATATTCCAAATCTTGTTTTTTTGTTTTGTTTTTTTTTTTGAGACAGGGTCTTGTGACGCAGTTCAGTCTGGCCTTGAACTTGGCGTGATCCTCCTACCTCGGCCTCCTGTGTGCAGGCAATGCAGACATGCACCGCGGAGCCAGCCCAAATCTTGTTTTATTAACTGGTATTTTGGTTTATGTGTTCTTTTCTCACTCTGCAGAATGGAGTTGCCAATAATTTCACAGGTGGAGGACAGCTGTGACAAATGTGTACAGTGTGTCCTTTCCGTTTCGGGCTGTTCGGTCAGCCTAGCGATTAGGCCTTGCTCTGAGCACAGTGTGTGGCCTTCCGTGGGTCCTAAAATCAATTCAGTGGATCGCCACTGATCTCTTACACGCGCGCGCGCACAGGGACACTTTATCCCTGGACACTTGAGCACTTTCTGTGTGCAGTCACTGAACCTGGGGCTTTCATGTTGACTTCCTTCTTTCATCTTCCCTAGGAGGGCGACAACTCGGGAATGGGGGGTGTTGTCCCCAGTGTGTGACAGATGGAGAACTATGAGTGATGACCCCAGGTCACAGCAAGTGCAAAGAGCAGCTGCAGGTCCTACCAGCCTGTGTCGCCCCAGGAGCAGCAAGGCCACCTGATGCACAGAGGCTTCAAAGCGGGCTCTGCAGCCTTCCTGTCCTCTAAAGGCCTTGCCACTTGCCCACATGTGAGACCCCAAGAAGGGAAGATGAGAGAAGGGGACTTTGTCAAGCTGCTCTTTTGGTCACTGCTCTCGAGGGCGGAAAGAAATTTTTTTTTCTTCTTCAGTCTTGCTGGATAGACAAGAGCTCCTGACCCAAGGCTGACTAGTCTGTGGAATTTTTCAGACAGTCCCCCGAGAAAGGGGCTGTATCCTACTCCAGAAATGAGGCTTCTTGCGTCTGGAGCCAGGCCCTCAGGAGTCAAAACTAGCCTCTGCGCAGCTTCGCCCAGAAGCCGCTGACGCACATCTGCAGAGCTCTGCCCACGTGCCTGACGCTGTGCTGCGCAGGGGGGCCGGTCTGCATCCTGCCATCAAGGAGCTCACGGACGCCACAGCCCCAAGTGCTGGCTCTGACAGGAAGGAGGGAGGAACCCCGGCCAGCAGCTTCACGATCTCAGTGTGGCTGACGTTTCCCCTGAGAACTGGCTTAATTCTGCTCACAGGAAGCCCATGGTAGTAGAGATAACCCAGGGGCAAAACGTCATAGGAAGTGGGTTTTGTGGTAAGGGACTGAGAAGCAGTGAGTCGCACCCCCCAGGGGAGCCTGAGCTCTACAGAGTTCTCCCACGCCTTCCTTCTAGTCTCAAGCGGTCTGGCTGCCTGGACCTGGGCGTTCTGAGCCCAAGAAGCACCCAGCTCCAGGCTTCAGGCCACTCTCGGGGTGCAAAATAACTCCCCTAAGACATTTCCCCATTACTGCTCCCCCGTCCACCCCTGGGCCCACTGGACATGGGAACCAGATACACAGCTGAGCACAGAGCCGGCAAGTCCCCTCACGCTCTCAGGCCCCTCGGTGACAGCCTTTTAAATTAGGTTCACTGCTCCACTACTCCACCTTGGCTTCGCACCACACAAGTCCACAAGCTGTGGTGGCACAACACGCGTGTCTCACGGGGCCCATCTGTATGCAGATGGCTCCCTGGCCTTGCCATCGATCTTTATCTGAGTGTCTAACAGAACCGTACACCTAAGGCTGCCGGGGATGTAGCTCAGCAGCACAGGGCCTGCCTGGTAAGGGCAAGGTCTTGAGTTCGATTCCCAGTGCCAAAAAAAAATACAACCCTAACATGCTCCAAACAGAATTTCTGATACTTCCTCACCAACCTCCCCAGACTCCCCCACATCAGTACATGACACCAGCATCCCTCAGCTGCCCTAATGCTGGATTCTCCCCCACCACTCTGCCCTATTTATTATTTTTTTTCTGTGTACAATCAGCCCATCAGCAAGTAGAGCCAGTTCACTCTCTGTCCCCATAATGACAATGTATTACTATTAGTCTTTTGGTCTCAACTTTATATTACTCTTTCTAATCTTTTTGTTTGTTTGTTTGTGTTTTGGGTTTTGGTTTTGGCAGTACTGGGGACTGAATCTAGTACTGGGGACTGAATGTCGTTTGCACTGAACGACATCCCCAACAGTTTTTGTATTTTTCACTTTGAGGCAGTCTCCCTAAGTTGCCCAGGCTGGGCTCAAACTTACAATCCTCCTGCCTCAGCCTCCTAGAGTGCTGGGATTACAGGTATGTACAACCACTTCCAGCTCTCCAGTCTATTTTTTGACATACAGCCACAAAGAAAAACAGAGTGATCTTCTAAGTCAGATCATTTAACTAACAGTGGTTTGTTTGTTTATTTATATATTTTTTTGAGACAGGGTCTTGTTATGTAGTTCAGATTGGCCTTGAACTCACTATGTAGCTCAGGCTGGTCTTGAATTCACAGTGATCCTCCTGCTTCAGCCTTCTGAGTGCTGGGATTACAGGTCTGCATTACCACACTCACGCATTAACCGTGGTTTAAAAATATACAGTGGGTATGTGGCACATGCCTGTAATCCACGCTACTTGGGAGGCTGAAGCAGAAGGATCAGAAGTTGGAAGCTAGTCTGGGAAACTTAGTGCGACCCTTCCTCAAATAAAAGGGGTTGAGGATGTGGCCCAGTGGTAGAGCATTTGCCTGCCTAGCGTGTATGAGGCGCTGAGTTCAATCCCTAGCATCCCCACCACGAGAGGAAATAAAAATAAAAAAGCACTTGAAAAATTTTACAAAACATATTTGATCATCTTCATAGCAGCATTATCCACAATAGCCACGGGGAAAACAATCTACATGTCCATCAAAAGATGAACGGATAAGCAAAATGTGGTAAAATACAACAGAACAGTGTTCAGCTTTTAAAAGGAAGTAAGTTCTGACAGATGGTACAAGAGATGAATCTTGAAGATACGCTGCATGAAAGAAGCCAGTCACAGAAGGGCGGATACTGTCTGATCTCACTTATACCAGGTCCCCAAAGTGATCAAATTCATAGAGACACCCAGGAGAGGGCTGAATGCCAGGCACAGGGAGGACAGGGAGTCGTGGTTTAACAGAGGCAGTTTCCATATAGGAAGATGGAACCATTCAGGAGATGGGCAGTAGTGATGGTTGCACAATAATAAATGTATTTTTGAGGAACTCTGTGCTTGGGGATGGTGGGAAATTTTACATTATGTGCATTTTACCCCACACGTGAAAAAGCCAAACACAGCCTATCACTTACAGAAGTCTCATGATTCAGCCCCACTCAGCTCTCTGAACTCATTTTGTAGTGCTGTTCTATCTGTCTCCTTGCCTACTTCTTTCAGCCACGCTGGCTTTCTTTTTGCCTCAGGGCCTTTGCACCGCTGTTCCTCTGGGGAGAACAGAGTGGCCCTTGTGCTAAAGGAACTCCCTAATTCAACACCAGCTTGGCGGATGCACACTGCGCTCTGTTTACCTTTAACTTCATCATGCAATTATTATTGTTTTAAATTACTTATTTGTTGCCTTTCCAAGTAAAAAAGTAAGTCTTAGAAGACAGAGACCATTCAACAGTGAAGCTTATGCCCTGGGTCTGACTTGTGCTGGGAAACAAAAAGTTCTCAGCCTGACGTTGGGTCTCCTCCCTTGGCCCCAGGATCAAATGCCCATATATTTGCAGGCACCAGGCTGCTGCCAGATGCTTAGTGGGAGGGCAGAAAGCAGGGACTCAATTTCAGCAGAGACACAGGTCTTGTTTGTGTGTGTCTAATGACCGCCAGGTAACCTGATCAGATGGTCAACTGTGTAAGAAATTTTATCTTGCTGTGGGCTAAGAGATTTCTGACCACGAATCTGAGGGTTTTTTCCTTTCCCTACTGAACAGCACTGAAAGTATCTCTAGAGTCTGAGAATCCTCATGGTACGGTTGTTTATTCCAGAATGCGCAAATTCCCCGGCATTACATGGGAAAATGGGGGAGGGAGTGCGTATTGTTCTGCGCCAGTGTACCCTACTGTAGGGAGGGACGGTAGCTTTCAGTGGATTCTCAGAGCAGTCCAGGACCACAGAAATAAGAGGGATGGGTTTGGGGGTTCAGGCAGGTGATTCAGGGATGCTGGAATCGGCCATAAGAAAGAACCCAGGACAAAAAGAGGGAGATAACCAGACAGAACAACAGCACTTGCCTGGTGGTTGCTAGTAGCAGGCCCTTCGGAGGGGTGACTGGGTTACTGGAAATGCTACCCTGCTGGGCACGGGCTGCTCTGCCCCGTGATGCTTCCTGCGCCAGCCTGGAATGTCACTTGTCTATCGTGGCACTTGCTCCTTAAGGACTCACCAAGTTCTGGGTGACGGTAAAAGCAACTGAGAACTCCCGCCTCCCGAGATCCAGGGGAAGGGTGGGAGTACAGCGCAACGGCAGCAAAGTCACAGAGGGGCCCAATCTGAGAGGGGGCAGCTGATACACTTGATTCTGCTCTGCATAACCACTCTACTGCTCCTCGGGCCCTTAAGGCCGCTCCCAAGCCCCTTCATCTCTGCCCCTCCATTTCCAGAAGAGTGGTGCACACATCTCTTGCCCACAGCATCCTTTCCCTGCGTCCCTGTACTTGCCTTTGCTTTGTGCTCCCAAGAGTCTGTCTTTTTTTTTTTTTTTTTTTTTTTTGGAGACATGGTCTTGCTATGGCCTTGCACTCATGGCGATCCTCCTGCCTCATCCTCCTTGAGTTCTGGGATTACAGGCTTGCATAATCACACCCAGCAAGAGTCTGGCTAGCCTGGGCAAATGAGAGCTCCCCGAAGAAATGAGCTCAGCAGTGTTCATGTCGTGGTTCTCATCCCTAACCCCCGGGCAGGAAGAGGCTGGGGACGGTAAGGAGAAGCACCAGCTCCACCGGAGCAGCCCAGGACGTCAGCAGGCGAGTGTGGAGTTAGTCCCTGCCCTTGATATGGGGGCCCCAGACACCGTGTGCCATCCGGAAGCAGGGCTCAGCTCCCGGAAGCTCTAAGTACATCCAGGTGGCCGTCCCACGGCGCCTTTCCTGGTTCCGACCCATCATCCCGCTCTCAAGTGGTCCTAAGAACTTGTGCTCTGGATGCTGCATCCTCTGCCTTTCTACCTGCCCATTACTCTCCTCCAAAGCAGCCATTCTTCTGAAACAAGGCCATGCTCCAGCTTAAACACCTCCCTCCCTCCCTCCCTTCCTTCTTTCCTTCTGTCCTTTTTCTTTCAGCACTGAGGATCGAACCCAGAACCTCACATATGCTTAGCAAGTACCTGACCACGAAGCCACATCCCCAGGCTTCTCATTTCTTTCTAAATAAATCTGTTTAGCCTGGTGTGAATGTGAACACAGCACCTACTGAATCTCATCTCCTGTCAGAAACCTAAGCTTCAGTCACGCCAGATCTCCCCAGCAGACACACTCCTGCCTCCAGGACCGCGGATGCTGGTCTCTGTTCCAGGGATGTCCCTCACCCACTCTTCCCTTCCTAGACACTCATCCTTCCCGTCCAGCTCCAGTCTGGCCTCTACTGTGGAACAGCCCCAGACATCCAGGCAGAAGAACACCCTGGAACACTGCTCCTGTGCAGAGAATACAACGAAACTTCCCTCACGGAGCTGCTACTCTATGCCAAGTACTTTGCCACATGAATTATCTCACTGATCACCTATCTCAGACCTCTCATGTGCCATATAAGGAAGTCAGTTGTCCTCATTTTTCAAAAGAGAAAGATGCAGTGCTTGCCCGAGGTCACAAAGCTAGGAAGAGTCAGAGCCAGGACTTGCACTCCTGGCGGCGGACTTTCAAGCCCATGCCCTTTCACACAGGACAGAGGCGTGTTACGGCCATACCCCTGTGTGACCTATCAGGGCGGTGGGTCTGTTTGTCACATAGTCCCCGCGCCTGGGTCATACCAGGTGCAACTCAGTCCTGACCGAAGGTGCAAGTTGAGCAGGGGCAGCCTCATTTACTAACAACCATAGCAAAAAAGCACTCTGAAACGCAGCCAGCGAGAACACGAGAGTGGGCTGCCAGGCAGGACACAGGAGGAGGCCTCACCCTCTGCCTGGACCTCTCCCAGCATTTCTGACTTGGGGTTAGACTTGGCAGCACTCAGGAAGACCAAAGCTGCACAGCTCTTGCAGTCCCTTGGGTGAAGTGTGAATAAAGTCCAGGCGCCAGGAACGTGGTCTACCTGCGGCCTGCCCCGGCTGCCTTTTTCCTCCTGGCCTTTATGATGAGTGTGATGCAGACAATAGGCCTGATCCCTTGAGACCCTGCCCGCCTCCCCAGAGTGCCCGTGGGATCCCAGCGCCCTGCTCAGGGCCCCTCCAGCCTCACCGTCAGTGCTGGCGTCATCCACCAGGATGATCTCCGTCAGCAAGATGGCAGGGCTGGTGTGCAGGACACTGTACACCGTTCGCAGCAGCGTGGACCAGGCCTCATTGTGGAACACGATGATGACGCTGGTGGTGGGCAGTGGGGGACAGCGTCGGAACTTCTGGTCAATACACCTGGAAAGACAAAAGTATACGCACTGCTTCCCAGGTCCCTGGGAGTTTTGGGAGTGGGAAGAGGTCTGTCCAAAGCTTCCCCAAATCATCTTCCACGCCTCTGAACCGTTAGCCTACATGGTCTTCCAATCTTTATCTGAAGCTGTTTATGGTCTCAGTCTTGGTCACGCCTTAATCGAATGCTGCCACAGCTGGGGCTCCTCAGCCTTAGACCAAAGTGGTACGGCCTAGAACCAGGAGCCGCTTGAACTTATCAGGAGCTCTGTAGCAGAGAAGGGCATTAGTGTGGGCAGCCAGGAGAGGAGCCTGAGACAGCTGCTGCAGTCGGAAGCACCTGCTTCCCGTCTTTGACTCCCCACAGCCCCCTCTGAGCCTCTGTATAGGACCTACCGAACCTACTCCAACACCAAGCCCCAACCCAGAACTGCTTCTGTGCTCTAGCTGTCACGTGCAGGCTCTCTGCTGCCTTCGCCCATCTGCCATCTGCTATCAGGCTAGGAGTTCCCAGGGTTGACTCTTCTTCTATAATGCGTATGCTACATAGTGTAATGCAATTGACAGGTTCCAGAGGGTATGTAATAAAGGCCAAATCTTACATCTGAGAAAAGTGACTAAAATTTCCATACTCAATAGGAGGAAAAGGACCAGGTGAGGTGGTGCACGCCTGTAATCCCAGCACTCGGGAGGCTGAGGCAAGAGGATGGTTGTGAGTTTGACCAGCCTGGGCTACAAAGTGAGCTCAAGGCCAGCCTGAACTGTAAAGAAAAGGCTCTTTCTTTTGTAATTTGTAGTTCCTTGCTATCCATTTCCTCATCAACTGCCTATAATCTGACTCTACTGTCACAGTCAGTTTCCTGCAAACTTTTCTCTATCCTCAGTCTCTCCAACGGCCACTCTCTGGCACTGGTCACACTGCCACCTAGACGCTCAAACTCACGTGTGATCCCAGATCTCAAGGAATCACGTGCCTAACGCCTTCTCTACGGTCCTTTGTTGGCCAGAGACTGCTCATGGTCTGCCACAGAGACACTAGATTTGCTCCTCTAGCTGCCCACACGCCGAGGAGCTCCCAACAACTCCAAGTGGCTCCTTATTCCGGGGCCACTTCACTTGGGTCTAAGCCCGAAGAGCCCTGGCTGTAGCAGCATGAGAGTAAGATGGAAGAACCCTAGAGACTGAAGCGCTGGCTCCTCTACCCAAAACTGGAATGACTTCCTGGCTTTGGGGCCTTCACTGAAGAGAAGCAGGTGGTGGGGGACTCCGAGCGCTGTGCTCAGGAAACGCTCCCTCCCCGACAGCTCAGCATGGGAGTCTCCTAGTCTCTGGGATGGACCTCAGCAGACGGCAGGGCCACTGCATCCTCAGCCTGGGATCAGCCCCTCTCAGGGGCCCTTGTGCCAGATCCTAGTCCCAGGTTCTGAGTTCCTTCTTCTTTCTCCTGTCACCTTCATAACTGGGTTTCCCCTTCACAGGTCTCTTGGGTCTCTGCCCTGTCCACAATATTCCTGAACTGCAGCCTCTGTGATCAGGGCAGTTGGTCAGTGAAAGAAAAGAAAATCCTCGCCTATATTCTCCGATGCCCCTCAGCTTTGTTCCTGGCACTTGGCCTGTGGCCACGGCCCAGCCGGCCACAACTCCGGTAAAGCCCTGGCCTTCCCCAGGGCTCTGGGTGCTACTTACTCAGGGGGCCGCGTGTCTGGCCCCAGGGCTCTCTGCAGGGAGATCCGGTCACTGGCAAAGGCGTTGAAGCAGTGCTTCTTGTAGCCCTCTTCTTTCTCCTGGGTCTCCAGGGGTGTCCACTCGCTCTTCTCAAACGCTTTCCCATCTGCCCCAGGGCCACTGGGGTCCTGTGGTGGCCGTTCCCAGTGAGGCTTTAGCTCGTTTGGGGTGTAGAACCCAGGGGGGCAAGACTGGTTTACGGAGACCAGAGGCTGCTGCAGCTCCGGAGCTCTGATCTGGAGCTTGGGCATTGAATCTCTAAGGTTGTTCACAGCCCCTAGCATGAGATCCAGGACGTGATCCTTCTGGCCCACCAGGGACTTCAGCCATGGTTTCTCTGTAGCCAGCTCTCTCCCGCTTTCATTTCTTGGCCAGATGAAGAGGTACAGCATGAAGACGCTGCCTGCCATGGCCAGGCGCAGAGGCATATGGCGTCTGCGGAGGAGCCTCATCCTCCACAACCTGGGGATCCCAGCAGACTCAGTTCCGAGCCCCGGGCCTGACCTTGGAGAGGGCTTGATATGTCGTGGTGGCCACCCCTTGGGGCCTCAGCCTGAGAAGGGAAGCAAAAGGGAGAAATGAGGCAAGGTAGGGGTGGAGTGGGGTTGAGGGCCTAGGGCTGAGGTCTGGGCTTTGTTTTGAATGGTAGCATCGCTTTACGCTGCCAACGTGCCTAAATTTCCTTCATCTGTAAGCTGAGGGAACGGCACTCAGTGTTTCTTTCCTGTCCTAAGACGCTGACATTTGTGGATTTAGGGCGACTAGAACAATGAAACAGTACACAAAGAGATTTAATTGCCATAACCACTTTGGGAAACAACTCGGTGCTAACAAGTAAAATTTAAAACAAACACACCTATGAGCCAGCAATTTCGCTCTTAGTTTTATATCCCTGATAAACTCTGGTAGATAAGCCAGGCGCCTGGACAAGAATGTTTATAGCAGCACCGACTAAAATGGCAAAAACTGGTAACAACCTCCCAGTCCATCAGGAGTAGAAGGAATAAATAACGCGAGACGTGTCAGTACTGTGGAGTTCTGTACAGCAATGACAAAGAGCCACTTCTCCCTGCCACAACGTGGATGGAACATTGGTTGAAAAAGCAAGTTGCAGTCAGACACGTACGATGTGACCTCATTTATAGAAAATTTGAAAACATACGAAGACTAAGCGATATGTTGTTTACGAATTCCAATGTGGTAAAGCTACAAAGAAGCCAGGCATGGTGGTGCACACCTGTGACCCAAGCATTCTGGGGAGCTGAGGCGAAAGGATTGAAAGTTTGAGCCCAACCTGGGCAATTTAAATTTTTATTTTATTTTACTTTTTGTCGTGGTACTGGGGGTTGAACAAGGGTCTTTCACTAAGCTATATGCCTCGTCCCTTTTATTTTTTATTTTGAGAGAAAGTCTTGCTAAGTTGTCCATGTGGGACTTGAACTTGTGATCCTCATGGCTCAGCCTCCGAGAGTACCAGAATTATAGGCATGAGCCATTATACCTGGCTCTACTGGACAATGTAGCAACTTAGTGAGTCCCTTCTCAAAATTATATATATATATATATATATATATATATATATATATATTTGTTTGTTTTTGTTGTTGTTGTTTTGTTTTTTTAAAAAAGGAAAAAGGGTTGGGGACGTGAGAAGGCCCCATGTCCCATCTATGGGAACTAAAGGAACAATAAAATCAAAGTTTCTAAAGCCGGGTGTGGTGGTACACACCTGTGATCCCACCATTTGGAGGGCCGAGGCAAGAAGATCGCCATGAGTTCAAGGTCAGCCTGGGTTACAGAGTGGGTTCAAGGCCAAGGCCTGTCTCAGAAAAACAAAACCAAAAACAAAACAAAAAAGAAGAAGCACTTGCGAGGACCTCACAGTAGAGTACTAACCACTGCGAGGACCTCACAGTAGAGTACGTGTTCAAGCACGAGTGACTTCTGGATTCAGAAAATTCTTGTGCTGAAAGGTTTTCATTCCTCCAGATAAGAGTTTAACCTCTTCATTTTACAGAGCAGATCCAGCAACACTAGCTAACTGGCCTAAAATGATACTACATCTTCATATCTTTGCGGTATCTATTGTTCATAAATGATGCAGATTCAGGGGCTGGGGATTTAGCTCAGCGGCAAAAGCACCTGCCTGGCAAGTGCAAGGTCATGAGTTCGATTCCCGGTACCGGAGAAAAACCAAAACCAAAACCAAAACAAAAAAAATGATGCAGATTCAAAATGAACATTGGACTCTATTTGGGTTTGGGGTTTCTGTTTGCTTATTTTTGTTTTTTGAGACAGGGTCTCAATATATAGTTCAGGGTGGCCTTGAACTCGCTATGTAGCACAGGCTGCCCGCCCTGGAGCTCAGACCAATCCTCCTGCCTCAGCCTCTTTTAAGTGCTGCACATTTTATTTTTGTTTTCATATCCTTATGAACTATTTCAGATTAGTCTACTATAATAGTACATGCTTATACAGCTTACACTTGGTAAAATAAAAGCATTTCAAACCTTAACTCTTGGTACATCTCATTTACTTTTGCAGAGAACCAAGACTAGAATTCAAAACTTTTTCCTGGAGGCGGGGCGTGGTGGTGCATGCCTGTAATCCCAGCACTCGGGAGGCTGAGGCAGGAGGATCCTTGTGAGTTTGAGACCAGCCTACGCTACAAAAGTGAGCTCAAGGCCAGCCTGAACTGCATAGCAAGACCCTGCCTCAAAAACACAAAAAAACAAAAACAAAAACCTTTTTCCTGGGAAAAACAGCACAATTAAAAAAGTAAAAGTTTTCAGTCAATGGTTCATTTAACAACATGCTTAATAGCATAGAAGCCTGATGATAGAGAAACCACCTGGTGACCAGACTAATAGTAAAACATGGAACAGAACAAAAACTATCCGATCACTAAACTCCCCATAATCAGTGCAATCACGTACTGCAAATGTGTACTGATAAAAAACAAAAATAAAAGTAAATGAAATAATAAGTGCCCACAGTCCATGCAAAACTTATTTCCCTGAGAATACTTTACAGTAGCATAATAGAGATATCAAGAAACAAAACCAACTGAATATTAAAATTACTCTGAAAATGTCTAAGCTTTATTTCCACTTAGAAATCTCTTAAGTAATAGTGACCACAAAACCGTGCTCTAATGATAGTGACCCTACTGGAAAGCCACCTTTGTTTTGTACAAATTCACAGCTTGAAAAATCCCAGTAACACTTGCAACACAGCGCACAAATCTATTTCCAGGGCAAAGAAGGTTAAGTAGTAGACGTGATGCTAGGCCACTTCTCCAGATTGTCTTTCCACTGAACAAGGCACTACAGAAACAAATGTTTGAATTGATATTACTTTTTAAAATAGTGGAACCTGGGGGCCAGGATAAAGCTCACTGGCACAAGTGCCTGCCTGGCAAGCATAAGGTCCTGAGTTCGATTCCCAGTACCAAAAAAAAATATACTGGACCTTAAGAAAATCAATGCTACTCTTTAACTCTCAAAATACACTAAAAGACCCAAAGCACTAAACGATCCCACACATGCCAAAAAAATCTACCAACTCTTTGAAATCTTACCAAAAAATTATTCAAAATCCAATTAGACATGTGTGTGTATGTGGGGGGGGTAAGCAGAAAAATCATCAACCCTTTCCAATAGTAGGTATCCCAATTAGTAGGAAGGATACACTTTATGTTTATTAGTCCTACTTATTTTCTAAAATAAAAGATAGTACAACTTTCTAGTCAGTAAAAAGGGATGCAAAGTAATTACACTTTTTAACAGGACAACTAAAAGTGAGGTGATCACACAATATGACCCATCAGAAATGGGCAACTTATGGCCATGGTTACTGTTGAGAAAGGTAATTTACAGGGCTGGGTGTGCAGCTCAGTGGTTGTGCTCTTGTCTAGAAAAGGTAATTTATGGACTGTCTTTGTTATTTGAATCAACAAAGGGGTCTCAAATAGTAAAAAGGACTTGCTTATAATGCTTCTCAAAGACTTCAAATTGATCACAACACAGGTCAGACAGGAAACCGAGTCTGTATACACCGTGTATTGTAACTGTAGCTCTAAAATTTCCTAAGACTAATGCAAGACCATCGCAGCTCCTTTTATTTTTGGTCTTTTTGAGACAGGGTCTCGCTATGCAGTTCGGGGTGGCCTGAGCTCACTTTGTAGCCCAGGCTGGTCTTGAACTCACAATGATCCTCCCGCCTCAGCCTCCTGAGTACTGGGATTACAGGCGTGCGCCACCATATCTCGCTAATCACAGCTCCTTAACCTGAATTACAGGAACACTAACCGAAATGATGCACGAATTCCATCCCTGAGCACACAGATAAAAACAGCTACAGAACTGGTGCTCTTTTTCCGACACTACCCTTTACAGTCATCCCTTTTTTTGACCCAATACTTTTCTGAGAAGACTCCTGACCCCTTTTCTCTCTTCTCCAAAACAAACATAAATTCCCAAGCCCCAAGGCAAGTTCCAATCCCTGACCAGGGTGAGCTAAAAGAGAAACTTCCCTGGGCCAAAAGGAACACAGGGCTGGGGAAGAGGTGAGAAAAATTCAGGAAAAGGGGTACTCCCTGGAGCTCTGCATCCCATCAGCTCTGCCCTACAGCTGGCAGCCAGGACGGGTGCCAGTGAAAGCCCTGGTGCCGTTTTGTGCATACACAGGCGCAGACAACGGCTTAGGAGTTGTTCCCCACTCTTTCAAACCAGCAGAAAAACACCCCTGGCCTTAAAGTCCACAGCTGGCATCCATCACCATATTTCACAGTCCTGGCCTACGGCTTTCAACATTACCGCACCCATACTTTATAAATACAGTCGACCCTTGGACGACATGGGGTTAGAGGTACTACCCTCCCACACAGTTGAAAATCTAAGTTTAACTTTTGAATCCCCCTCACATTAACTACCGAAAGTCTGCCACTGACTGGAAGCCTTACTGATAACACAAACAGCTGACTAATACATACTTACTGTGATATATATATTACAGGTAGTGAAAAATACCTGTGAACCATGCAAAATTGTTCTTTTACTATGATACTCAATTTTCTGCAGAAATGAACATCTCATGTGGAGATGATTAGTGTCAGGGGGCATTTTAAGCAGATATTCACAGTACTTACCACGAGGGCAACAGGGGGTGCTATGAAATTACTACAGTAGTGCAGGGTGCGCTGCAGTTAGTTTATGCAGTTATGATCTTTTAAACTTAAAATTTTTTTTATAATCGTAGGGGTTGAATCCAAGGCCTTGGGTGTGTTAGGCAAACACTATACCACTGAGCCACATCCCCAACCCTTGTGCATTACTGATTTATTTATTTTATATTTGGTGCTGAAGATTAAACCAGGGCCTCTCTCCCGCTAAGCACAGGCTTTACTACTGATGTACAGGCCTAGGCCGCAGTTGTAATTTAATACTGCATTTCTACATTTGTCTGGTCTGTGTTTGTGAGCTTAAACTCTGATAAATCTTCTTAGATTATTTATTTTGATATATTTGTGCATATTTTATGGTAGTAAATGATGGGTCATTATCTACATATATTTTATGCATTCATGATATACTTAATTTTATCAACACCTGAACTTCCTTTGAGAAGTAGGCTCATTCACAACACATGCAGGAGCCCTCTTGTTCTTAGGAGCTATTTCTATTCTCTGTTCCTTTCCTTCAACAAATCTTCCTGGCTGGGGATTTAGCTCAGCGGCACAGTGCCTGCCTGGCTAGCGCAAGGTCATGAGTTCAATTCTCAGTACTGGAAAAAAA